GGTTGTGCTCACTTATATATATTAGATTTTATAGACAATTTATCTCACCTATGGTTTCCCGTACATAAAAGCTTTGCACACTTGAGTGGTATGCATCTCTTTGGGCCCAACTGGTGTGTTTCATGACAAACTTTACTTGTAACAAGTTTTTTTTCATGTCCAAACCACCGTATATGACCAGTATTGGTTGTTATTCCGTTCATTCAACAATGACATGTGACAATCCATTAATTATAATAACGTCAAATAACTTTTAACTTTTGAAATTATTTTGAGGAAATTGCGCCTGGCACTACCAAACAACACTTTATTTGCAATATTACGAGTCAATTAAAATATTTAGCAAATATACAAAATCTTCTATTTTTAATTGCAAATCAATATAAATTAGGGAAAAATGTATACAACTCTCTTTCTCTCCTCTAGGAGATATTTACGATAGAAAAAACCCTCTGCCGATTACTCTCACCCTCACCCTCTTCCTCCTCATCCTCCACCGTCTGTCTTCATCTCCTGCGACGAGAAAGAATCAACTCTCTCTTTTCTTCTTCTTTTTTTTTTGAAAAAAAAAGTCGATGGAAAATTGTTGCTCCAATTTTCGCTGTGATGGAGCTCTCATGCTAAGACGGAAAGAAGGACTCGGTGGACAAGTTTTGAGAGGATCGGGAGAGATAAGATCCCGATTCTCTGATAATTGATCTTCTCTGATCAGACGAAAGAAAAATGAAAAAAGAGAAGGGCTCTGTTATTCCTATATGCGTGGTCCGTAAGACGAAAAAGAGGGTGAGAGAATATCATTTAACTGAAGTGTATATGTTCAGTATATTTAACGTATATGTTCTGTATACACTACATATCAAACAAACGAAAAAAAAGGTTAGATAGGTTTTCGCCAGTTTTCTCCATCTTCGGCCATGGCGCATTATCGGAGAACGGTGGTGTGGCTTCTATACGGCTAGCAAGCTCATCGGAAGCCAAAAAGGGGGAATTGCAGATGAGTTTTCGCGATACAATATTCATCACAAGCCGAAGGTAATGGACTCGTCGGCAGCGGCTCTTGCCACAACGGCCGACGGCGCGTGAATGAATTTTCTGCTTGTGAAATATGATCTGAATTTAATATTTAGTGATTATGAATTTGATGGGATTGTTGCTGGTGAAAAGTTTCTTAAGACGATGAATAAAAAAGCGAGAGAGAAAATGATTTTTTTTTGTAGTATATGTTGTGTATATAGGCGATCATTTCGTGTGTTTCTCATTTGGCCGTGCTTTATTTGTTTATTATATACTGACTATAAACACAATATATACTATTTTCGTTCAAAACAATTGGCAATTAAAATTCAAATATCATAATTGAAGTTATATAAAAAAAACTGAACATATACCGAATATAAACACAATATATACTGCCTATTCAAAACCTGAGAACTAAAAACCCACGATCTGCGCAATTTAAGGAAGCGGCAATTACATTTGCTGTGCTAATCCGATTTTCACTCACCAGCGCAATTTATGGGACGTTTTTTTTTTGGTAACTATATCTTTACATATACACAAATAAATGTCATCTAATTGGTAGGAATGCAATAAAAATTCATCCCTTCGTAAGATTGTAATTTTTTTTATTCCTGTCGTAAACATAAAATTTTCCCATTATTTTTCATATCGACTATAACGTTGATACCCATATAATGCATGGGCCGTAAGACAAATTATGTTTTTTTATAAGTCGGATTAATAAAAACTTGGCAACAAAGTTGTTGAATTCTTTTAATAGTAAATTCGGTAATGAAATTAATTTTTATTACCTATATTTTAAATTATTTTTAGTATCCTAGGCCTCAGTTATTAATTACTTATATTTTTCTTTTTTTAGTTTTATTAATAATAGCACTTCTTATTATTTTAGTATGATATTTTTTATATTCTATTAATTATTTGTAAGTATGTGTTTTGGGTTCTATGCGTTTTAAGTTGCGTGCCTGTGATGAAAATGAAGTCAGATGCTCAAGAACGCGCAGCGACCCGAGAATCTCACGCAAGGCTTGAGGTGCAAGCTGGCCAAATTTCGTAGTTTATCTGTTATTATAATAATTTATGGGTGGTACTATATACCGTCTCCCATTTTACTACTCACCGTCCCTTTTGGACGATTTTGCCCTTTTCATTTTTTCTAAACATCTCAGAGGAAAGTGTACGGTGAAATGTCGTCAAATTCGGAGTTACGAAAATTTTGTGTCTGGCCGCCGGAACCGGACGTTTTATAAGCCGTCCGGCCGACGGAACCGAACGGGTTAAAAGCCGTCCGGAAAGTTTGGCCGGTCGGACGGGCTATGTCCGAACCGGCCGGCCGGACGGCTTAATAGCCGTCCGAAAACGATGGCCGGTCGGAACCGGTCCGTCCGGTTCGACCGGCTGGACAATTTTATTTATTTATTTTTTTAAAATTATTATGTTATATATTCGAAATAATTATGTTATAAATTGGACTATATTATTATGTTATAAATTATTATGTTACATTTTTAGACTTGATTATGCTATAAATTGGACGTTTATCGTGTTAGAAGTTATAAATTATTATGTTACATGTTGATTATAATATAAATTGGATGTTACATTCGCTGTGTATCCTGAGGGTCATCGCCAGTTGAGCGGCCTCAGCGCTTCATCTAAGAAAATTGTTCGTGATATGACGGACGCTCAGGTGGCCCCGGCAAAAATTATGGTCGCACTGAAGGAAAAAAATCCGGGAGACAACGTTCATGTGCGACAGGTATATATATTTATATCTTGTAATATATGTTTTAATTAACTTTTTGAAATTAATTATGATAATTAGTAATTTTTTATATGTAAAAGTTATTGTAATAATTAATAAATTTTATTATATTTACTAATGTATTATTATTGTGATAGTTAATTTTTTTTTATCAAATTAATCGCATTAATATACTTTTTTATTTATTAACATAATACTTTTTTTTAAATTATAATAATCATTATAATTAACGCTAATCGGTGACAGGTATATAACTTTAGAGATAAATTGCGGAAAGAGAGTTTCGACGGTAGAGACGTTCCTTCCCAGCTTATGCATTTGGCCATGAGCAGCGAGTATATAGTTTATGCAGAATCCGATCCGAACACAAAAGTGTTGACGCATATATTCATGGCCTATCCTGCGTCGATCAATCTATTCCGGACATATCACTGGTATGTCGGCATAGATTCCACGTATAAAACCAACAGGTATGTTACTTTATAAATACTTTATTAGTATGAATCCTAAATAGTGTGTTTGATTAAGTTAACTTTTATTTGATTATACTTTTTGTCTTCTTGGTCTCATTTGCACAGGTACAAGATGCTGTTGGTCGAGATGATTGGGATGACACCGTGCAACCAGAACTTTCTAATTGCATATGCGCTCATCAGGGACGAGAAAGAGGCCAGTTACGACTGGGTTCTAGAGAAGTTGGGACTACTGATAGGCCAAGACGTATATCCTTATGTTGTTGTCAGTGACAGAGAGTTGGGTTTACTCACTCCTATTCAGAGACATTTTCCTGAATCAGCCCACTTACTCTGCACGTGGCACATCAACAAGGATGTGGAAGACAAAGCCTACAAACTTTTTGGGAAGAGTAAAAAATTCTCGGAGATTTTCAGGCACAGTACGTGGAAGGCGATTGTAGAGGCCAGTACGTTCGATGCCTACACCGATGCCGTTGCCGAGCTGCACACAAAATATTCGAAGTCTCCAGAGGTGATACGGTATGTGGAGGGCACATGGTTAGGGAACCGCGAGAAGTTTGTGAAGGCTTAGACCAACCGAGTGACACATTTTGGAAACACAACTTCCTGTAGGGTGGAGAGTGCCCACTCTGTGTTGAAGGAGTGGCTTCAGACGTCCACCGGCGTGCTCGATACAATTTGGCAGAAGATTAATAAGCACATCGATAATCAAGTTACTGAAATCAAATACGTACTGCAATTTTAAAATGCGTTATTATATTACTGCATTAATTAATTATAATCTAACGTTATGTAACGTATTATCAGGACGGCGCTTGAGGCCTCGAGGTCTAAGAAGAATACACGGTATAAGGGAATCCTTTTCGCGAGCGTGATACTGAGGGTCTCGCATTACTGTTTGAGTTTATTGGACGCTGAGTTTACGAGGATGCACGACTTGGACGCCGATGTTTACACTAGCTGCGGCTGTGTATTGAAGCTCACT